AACAAAACCCCTATCACCATGCACAAAACACAACTCAATATGGATCAAGGACTTAGGAATTAGACCAGAGAACCTGTGCCTAATAGGAAAAAAGTAGGTCCAAATCTTCATTTTGTCGGATTAGGCCCCGACTTCCTTAACAAGACTCCTATAGAGCAAGAAATAAAATCAAGAATCAATAAATGGGATAGATCCAAACTGAAAAGCTTCTTCTCAGTAAAAGAAACAATCAGTGAGGTGAAGAGAGAGCCTACAGAATGGGAGCAGAGTTTTACCCCTCACACATCAGATAGAGCACTAATCTCCAGGATATATAAAGAACTCAAAAAACTTAACACAAAAATAAATAACCAAATCAATAAATGAGCCAAGGAAATGAACAGACATTTCTCGGAAGATGATATACAATCAATCAACAAATGTATGAAAAAGTGTTCAACATCTCTAGCAATTAGAGAAATACAAATCAAAATTACCCTAAGATTTTATCTCACTCCAGTCAGAATGGCAGTTATCAAGAATATAAGCAACAATAAATTTGATGAGGCTGTGGGGGAAAAGGCACACTCTTACATTGCTGGTGGGACTGCAAACTGGTACAACCAATATGGAAAGAAGTATGGAGCTTCCTTGGAAAACTGGGAATGAAACCATCATTTGACCCAGCTATCCCACTCCTTGGACTTAAAAACAGCATACTATAGGGACACAGCCACAGGACTTAAAAACAGCATACTATAGGGACACAGCCACATCAATGTTTATAGTAGCACAATGCACAATAGCTAAATTGTGGAACCAACCTAGATGTCCTTCAATAGATGAATGGATAAAGAAACTGTGGTCTACATACACAATGGAATATTACTCAGCATTAAAGGGAATATGATCATGGCATTTGCAGGTAAATGGATGGAGTTAGAGAATATCATGCTAAGCGAAGTATGCCAATCCCAAAAAACCAAAGGCTAAATGTTTTCTCAAATAAGTGGATGCTGATCCATAATGGGTATGGGGGGTCATGGGAGGAATGGAGGAACTTTGGATAGGGCAAAGGGGAGGGAGAGGAAGGGAGGGGGCATTGGGGTAAAAAAGATGGTTAATGAGATGGACATCATTACCCTAAATACATGTATGAAGACACAAATGGTGTGATTCTACCTTGTATACAACCAGAGACATGAAAAATTGTGCTCTATATGTATACTATAAATTGTAATGTATTCTGCTGTCATGTTTAACAAATTGGAATAAATAAATAAATTTAGGGCACAGTGGCACACGCATGTAATCCCAGAGGATCAGGAGTCTGAGATGGGAGGATCACAAGTTCAAAGTCAGCCTCAGCAGCAGCAAGGTGCTAAGCAACTCAATAAAACCCTGTCTCTAAATAAAATACAAAATAGGGCTGGGGATGTGGTTCAGTTGTTGGGTGCCTCTGAGTTCAATCCCCAGTAAAACAAACAAACAAACAAACAAACAAGTAAATTTTTAAAAAGAAGTATACCTATTTAATCCAGTATAGTAAGGAATGCATAAAATATATGATTATAGCAGGAAATTTTAGTATATTTCACTTGAAATAGGAAGCCAAGTAGAAAGAAAATTAAGAATGATGAAAAGATTTAAATAACATTGCTAAAAAGCTCAGTTTTACATAAACTTTGAGATAAATTTGTGGGATATGCAGATTTTAGAATAGTCATGGATAATTTACAACAATTTATCATATACTAGGTCACAACGAATAGGTGGAGGGACACCCTCAATATTTTAAAAATGTGAGTTGTCCTCATATAATTCCAAAAAAAAAATGAAGCATTTCAAAGATTTTTTTGGGTGAATTTGACAAATAGATAATGTAGTTAAGGCAATTGAAAAACATAAAATAACCAATTATGAAAGAGGGCAATTTTCCTACCAGATGTCAAAAGATTCTTTAACAATAATGTATGTGACAGGCACAGGAATAACCACATAGATAGACACAGCTGAATAGAAGATCCAGAAGCTAAAATATCTGTCAAGCCATATAACAGTATAACAATCTATATATTAAAATATTTGAAAGATTAGATTATTCTTAAAAGAATTTGGAGACAATTGAATGGCAATGTGTGAAAAAATTATGTCTACCTACATCTCAAAAATAATATTCCAGAAGGATTAATTATTTAAATAAAGATATTAGAAGAAAATGTAAGTGAATGTTTACATGTTGTTGAGGGCAGATAAGAACTTTCTATGTATGATAAAAAGGCCAGGAACAACATGAAATGATTTGAATCATTATTAACTCACACACACACACACACACACACACACACACCTGTGTGCAACATTTTGGTATCAAAGTACAACATAAAAATGTTGGAAGAGAAACAAATTGAGAAAACTATTCACAACATTTACGCCAGACAAAAAGTAATTCTCTTCATATGTTAAAGAACTGTTGCAAATTGTGTTAGCACAACTCTTAGTTACAAGGTGATAGAAATCAGCTAGAACAGAAAAAATTGAGGAACGTTATAATAGAACAGTGAGCAACAGAAAGAAAAATTAAGGCTAATTATAATAGGAAAATACATTTATTGTCATCAATAGAAATAATACAGTGACTGAAAAGGATTAGGGATATTTATAGATGTTAATGTGGATGTACATCTATCCTATATTGTTAAAAGGATAGTGGCTATGAAAGTATGAATAGCATATTTATATTTTGTGAAGCAGTATATTTATAAATATTTATATCTGCATACAAATGTCTGTAATAATGTATGTACAATTTAGTAGCCCTGTCAAATATGGTAGCCATTAGCTACATGTAGATATTGAGCAGCTTGAGGGCTAGTCAGAATTGAGATGTGATGTAACTGTAAACTATACACTGGACTTTCAAGATACAATACCAAAATGTGTAAATTATTTCACTAATAATTTTAATGTTGATTACTAGTTGATATTGTTTTGGAACTGAATTAAAGAAAATATTAATTTACTCCCCTCCTTTTCCGTGTAGCTCCTAGAAAATTTAAAATCACATATGTTTTCACATATTTCTTTTGGAAAGTATTGCTGTAAATGTTTAAAAATAGCTATCTCTGAAGTGGTGGGATTAGGAATAGGAACTTTGAATTTCTATTGTATGTATTCATGTATTGAGTACATATTATTTACATGCAGCTAAACTTTTAGACATTACTTTATATCAAAAAATGTATACTTTTATTTTTGAACAAATATTAACCATATGACTAGCTTCTTTACTTAGCAGTGATCTAGCTCGTAGTGTCCTTTCTTGTTAGGAGGGATTGACCAGGAAATTATTTTTCAAGCTTATTCATGAGTTCTCTCTCTTTAAATTTCTTGCTGCTTTCTCAATAAAATCTATACTCAAAGCAAAGAAATTTTGATGAGGTTTTTCAGGTGAATTTGTTACGCCTGCACAGGTAATTTTCAAAAGCAAACTCCAAATGTATTTTGAGCTATGGCATAAAGTCTTGTCCAGGTGGAACAGATATGAGTAGGACAGCATAGTGTGTAGATGAGTGTAAACAGATGGATGACTGAGGATACTAGCCAAATGGAAGTTAGGAGTGGTTCTAAAAAAGAGCCACTTAAAGTCTGAGTCAGACTTTGCTTTCTAGTTTTTATTAGAGCATGACATCTGACAGAGAAGGGAAATAAATATATGTGTTTAACATCAGGTGTGATGCTGATGTTCAGCTTGGCAACAGAGGGGGCCGTTAGGTATCCAAACCAATCATGTTTGGAAAAACCATAAAAGGCAAGGGGGAACAGGTAGGTGCAAGCAGTTGAGGAAGATCAACCAAAGAAGGTATCAAAAGCAGCATCCAGAATGCAGGGAATTTAGGCAGATCATAAACACAGTGTTGAATACTTGAAATAATGGAATCATACATAGAAAGAGATTAAAAATAATAGAATCATGGCATAGAGGTTGAAGAGAGTATCTGGACAACAGTAAATCAGGTATCTGGGACCGAGACTGACAAATTTGACCAGGCGAAGATGAGCTAGGTCTGGGTAAAAGACATTGACAGCAGTACTAAGTTTAAATTAATTGTACATCTCCTGCCCAGGGGCAGTCTTGAGACTCAGAACCTAAGTTTATATTAGCCTTTAAGTGGGGGTATTTGGCAGGATATAAGGAACAAATGGAGAAGGAATCTGATTTGGGTAAGAGGTTGAAGTTGAGACTTTTCTTGGCTTACTCTGGGCAGAGATTCTGGGGAGTGAAATGTGGGTTCAGGATATGGCTCAGTGTATCACTCACCCTCAGTTCCCTTTCACTTAGCAAGAATCTGAAGGCAAATAATCAAGAGAAAAATGAGAGTAGTGGTGAAAGATGACAGTTACCAATGGTAGATTTTTGTCTAAAATTTGACCAGTGCCAGAAATTGTAGAACTGGTATTTAAATAGGTGGGGTCTTTTCAAAAAGGCAGAGTGAGTTCATTGGGGAGGAGTGCTTGAATATTGTGCTTTAAGATAGTCAGCAGTTAAAATTAACAAGCTTCTCTTCCCAGTTATGCCAATATAATATCATTGGGAGATACTTGTACTTATTAATGGGTAAATTTTATGGTTTCTTGAGATTAGCTAACTTAAAAGTATATATTCTTTTTTTTTTGACTTCAGACACATTTTATTATAATCTTAATACAGTCTACATAAATTTGAACTTGTATTTATTTGGGTTCAGTTATAACATAGCATAATAAAAATCAAAGCACTGGTCCTCTGAAATAAAGCAGGCAATCACCATTCAATAAACACACTTGATTTATTTTGTATAAAAGGGTTAAGTTTACAACTAAACTTTTATAAAAAGTTTAGCATGAATAAGTACATCATTACACTTTTTTAATGCAGAAATATACATCTCTGCCACTATACAAGAAAACTCTAATTAAAGAGTTCACAAGGTTTCACTCAATATATATATATATATATATATATATATATATATATATATATATATATTTATGTATAAATATATACACAGCATTCAGTAGGCTTGCGTCAAAAAGGTAATTTCTGACCAAAAGACTTCATTTAAGTAACTGAATACTGACTCCTTCTGGTATTCACGCTCCACCTTTGAAAAAAGGCAAAGTCTGCTTAGATTGGGCAATTCCTTGTGATTTTAACGTTTTCGCTCCCCATGGTGGGAATAGTATATAAAGAAAACCTTCCAACTGCAGAAAGGGCATTTAAAAGTCTTTTTCATAAATAACGAATATCACATTCCAGGACAGAGAACACCCTGGGAAGATGATCATTCTTAGTTTTCCTTCCATTTGTTTTTCTTTTTAAAAAGGTCCATTCAATTTGTCCTCCTGGTGAAATGGTTGAAAAATAAGTTCATCGCCTTAAGAGATCCTGTGGATTTGTTGTTGCTGTTGTGCAAAAAGAAAAAAAAGAATAAAAAGAAAAAAAAAAGTCATGAACACCATTTATTCAGCCACAGAGTGCTTTGCTGTCATTTGACATTAACTCAGAAGGGAATTCAGAAGCCTGCAAGGACAGGATGCTGATGTCCGTGTTTAGGGTGGTCAGCGGCGTCCTGGACGCCTGGTTCTGTCCCGGTCTCTGGTGGTGCAGGCTAACAATAGTGGGGTGCGAGTCCAGGGCGATCTGCAGGTCCAAGATGTAGTCGATGACGTGCTGCAGGATTTCCATCTTGCTCACCTTCTTGTTCTGGGGGATGCTGGGCACCAGCTCCTTGAGCTTGGAGTAACAGTCGTTCATGTTGTACAGCAGGCTCATCGGGTCGTCCACCGGGGTTTTGCTCCGGGAGATGCCCAGGCTGTGGTCTGACAGACTGTTTTTCCTAACGGACCTCACTGGACTGAAGGCTTTCATGCTGACCGCAGTGGAAGGAGAGACCGGGAGGGAGCGGGCTGCCCTGGAACTCAGGCCGCCGCCGCCGCCTGCTGAGCTGGCTGCGCTCGGCACCAGGATCTGCTCAGAATCTAAAAGTATATATTCTAATAGGTTTAATATTTAATTGTATGACTCTTTAAAGCAGATGTTACACCTGTTTCCAAACTATGCTCAAAAGTATAAACTGAATTATTTATAGCACATTAAATTAGAATACTATTTAGTCCTTAAAATGATGTTGCAAAAGACTAATGATGTTGAAAGGTGAATGAGAATTGTGAAATAAGAGTAAAAGCCACACTGATTCTAACTTTATAAAAATTTATGTTTCGTACATATAAAAAGGCTGATAAAAAGACCCTCATTGTTTTCTGTGGGTGGTAGAATTATGAGATATTTTGATTCTTTAATTGACTTTCCAAATTTTCTATGATGAGCAGTTGTTATTTTTTGTCATTTGAGAAAGTTCAATAAATGCTATTAAAATGTTTTGTGGCATTTGGAAAATACATTGTCTTGGCCACCAGGTGACCTGTGTTCTACTCCTAGTTCCACCACTGAATTGCTGTGTGACCTTGAACAAATCATGCTCCCTGCTGTTGGCCTCAATTTCTTATCAGAGGATTGGAATGGATCAGTGGTTTTCCAGCAATATTGTGGGAAGCCCTAGGATTCTGTGACAATGCCGCAAGGGCTGCCAAGGGAGGGAGAGGGGGAGGCTGAATGATTGGAGTCTAGGTCTTTCAGATTACTCAAGTTAGAGCAGCCAGCTTACTTTAAAAAATCAATTTTAGATACCAGGATTTTAGATGAGATTTCCTTTCAGTAAAGGGTTTTGATCCCTTTCCATCTCTTCATACGTGCGCGTACACACACACACACACACACACATACACTCACACACAGTTTGAAGTTTAAGAACCATTGGGGTAGATGATCTCCAAAGCTCCTTCTAGCATTGACAGATTCTATTATTCAGGCTTTTCACAAATTCCCTGAAGCCTTTTCCTGAATTGGTCCAAATCTGTGGAGTTTTATACTGACTTTTGGATAATATGCTTGATGCCAAGAAACAGTTCCTTCTTACCCTGCCTGCCTACCAAGCTGTGTGCAGTGCTGCAGAAGCAGGCAGTAGAATGGATTAGCTGGATTCTGTATGGAGGTGGAAAGCTAATCAGCGGTGGAGAGAGTTCCCTGGTGGTCAAGGGCTCTTTGAAGCCTGGCATAATATTTTGAGGCAGTTGGAAAATGATGTCTCTAATGACCTGTGGCAAGAAATCTACATATTTTCTTGAGAAGGAAAGGCAAAGCCATTGTTTACCAGTTTTAATATTAAGCCTTGGAATGGGGAGAGAGCGAGAGAGAAAGGGAAAATGAATGAGGATATTTCCCCCCGCCGTTTGACTCACCTCTTAGTTTTAAGTACCTTATGTGGCCATATGTCTTGCTGGTGGGAAAGGGGTGGGGGTCCTGAGTAATGAGATCCTGAGCTGGAGAAGAACAACTGCAGCATTTAGCTCATATCCCTTCTCAACATTCTTACTCATAGAAAAGGGTTCTCAAGACAATGTGTGGGACTCCTATTCTCCAAAAGATAGGTAAATATGACAGTACAGCTACTGATTAGAGGGTTGGTTGGTAGCACTGGCATCTGAAGGCAGAATAAGTTTTTATTGTTAATCTAAGAGGTTTTATTCAGTCCAACCTACTCAAAATGAGGAAGGTGGTAAAATTTTCTCTTGAGCATATACTTTTCTATTTATGCTCCTTTTCTCCAAAGCGGTACCCTGTTTCCCCTCCCCCCAGATCCCAGGGACCCATACATTCTCTAGCTCTCATTTTATTCCCTTGATATAAAACAAAATTACTGAGATATTTATTCTCACTAAATTACAAATGAATGATTACATAATTACTATGCCAAGTAATAAAAAAGATTGAAAATATCCTTAAGCCAAAGGAGTACATCAGGAATGATAGGATTTTAGGTAGCATTGAGTATATAAAGAGAGTTTTTTGAGGAAAAGACAGCCTGGTATTCCACTGTACTTTGTCAAGAAGGTTCTAATCACAGGCCTGAGTCTCTTCTTTTTTTCCTAAATATGTGTTTGTTGTGATGATTAGGAAAAGTGTAAAAGTGCAAAAATTGGGTACTCATTAGCCTTGATGTTACAGCCTTCCAGGGGAGTCGGTGGGGTGGCTAACTAAAGGAAGCTCTCTGGGAAAACAGCCTCTTTCCTTGGGGGAAGAGAGGGATTAAGAGATAAAACAAACCTGCGAAAGAATGCAAAGGACCCAAAGAGATCTGTTAGGGAGCTAAAGGAAAATTGCATGCAGTCTATTGCCACTGTTTTGAATGGTAGTCAAGATTTATCAGAGGTGTTTAATTTTAGCACAGAAGAAAAGAAAAAGTAGTTTAAAAATAAACCAGAGATTTAGGGGAAAAAAGGCTGGTGAGCTCAGTTTAATCTCAGGTACACAGGCATACATTTTCCTTCCATGCAACTTGGGGCACAGGCATGACCACTTCCATCTGTGAATTGTTAGGTCTGATTACTTGTCTATAACATTTCAAAAGTCTTATATTGGGCTAAATGACGTTACGTTGTGGTAGTTTTATAAAATAGGAATGGAAAACCTGTTTCATACCCACTATTATGATGTAAGTTCTATCGGAAAGTTCTTCTCTCCCTTTCCTCTCCCTCGACATAAGTTCAAACACCTAAAGAAAAATAGTTACAAGATGAATTGAAGTAGGAATAAGGATCACTAAAAAGGAGATAATCCTTTATAAGTGATGTTAGCATAGAGCATGGCAGTGATTTCAAAGGAAGCAGCAGGTCAGAACACAAGATTCCTGATTCTACTCCAGAGGACATGCTTCAGTGGTCTGGAGTGGAGTTTGGGGATGTGGATTTTTTTTAAAAAACAAGCTCCCTAGGTAATTTGGAAGCACAGCCAGGTGTGAGGAACACTAACTTGGGGAAGGGGAGAAAGTGCCTGACAGAGAAGATGAACCATCAAAAGAAATTAGAAAGTCATGGACAGAGAAGCTTGGAGAGATGGACCATTCTTTAACCAGTAACCCAGTAGTACTTACAGGATACAAGGCATAAATAGGACAGACTTGACCCTGTCTTCATAAGGAGATCCCAAGCCACACCAGTGGTTCTAGGCCCTCAGTATGTGTCAGAACCACCTGGGGGACATTTCAGACATAAAATGTTAGGGCTTTCCCCAGAATTCCAATTGGTGAGGGTGGGGATTAGGTATCAATGGTCTTCAAAGTTCCCCAGGTGGCTCTAAGGTACATTTAGGGTTGAGAACTTCTGCTCCAAGGCAGTTAGACAAGTAGATATTCTGTATAATTCTGAAAGGTAAGGGCCACCAGGGATCCTAAGAGACTGAGACCTAAGTGTTTTCCATGTTTTGAGTCACGTATTTAAAAAATAAAGGAATACCAAAACAGGAATAACAAGCTGTGATTTATATTTAACAAGTGAGTTCTTTTAACCTACACAAAGAATACAATGTCATATAATTGTGCTATTCATAAGGTAATTACATAGAATTTATAAATTTGTTATTTCATAGTACATTACAAGCAGTGCAGTCTGATAATAGAATGCTATTTAAAGTTGTATGATGAATTCTGTCTTCCCCAATCCTGCTCAATATCTCTGTTACTATGTATCATCTCATCTGAGGCCCTTGTGGGTGCTGTGAGCACCCCCCCAAAAAAGACATTTGACTGAGTTTATGAGGGTCATGAAAAACTTCTCAGGATTAGTGGTAATTCACTCTGCTTTTTTTGATTACCTGACTATAAAATTGTTCTATTGTCAAACTGTTATGGGCAAACTTTTATAAAACTATTTTCCATGGAGGAAGAGAGGGAGGAAGAAACTGCATGGGTCATCCCAGAATGCCTGTAAGGTAAATGGTGATGTTGTAGGGAATCAAGAAAGCCTGGAATCTTTGGCTTAAGAATACCAATCTATGAAACCATTCCCTGTCAGCTTGGAATTAGATCATAGTCTTTAGGCTGGAACTGTAGGATTGTATATAGATGCTGCAGGTTTGAAAAAGGTTTCATTTTGAGAGTTTTTCTTTTTGTTTCTATTTTTGGTTTTGGTTTTAAATGAGGTGATCCACACCTCCTGGGGACCAGGAATGGTTCTAAACACAAACGAAAGGAGAAACAATTTAAGGGAGAAGCAACAACTCAGTAGAAATGGCTGGGGTCAACAGGAACCATTATCCATTATTATCCTGGAGATTTTTTTCCAGAACTGCCTCCTCTGCTTCCTAGAGAATGCGTAACTTATTCCTAGGTACCAAGCCTTAAAGAAGGCAAAGGAGATGTTTTTTTATGGAGAGAAGAGTCTGTTTGGGGGAATATGATGATGAGGCTGAAGGAAGCTGAGGTACTTGTGGGAACACCCAGAGTTTATTGCCAATGAGTTAGCCTTGGAGATGACTGAAGATCTATGTGAGTTCAACAGAGTAATAGGAATGTCTGAAGATTAGCAGAAAGGTAGCCACAAGAAGAGGCTTGCTTCAGCTAACTGGATTTGCCCCTCTGCTGAACTTTACCTCTCCAAAAAAGCAAAGCCTGGAATAATTTATGTTGCCTTACATGCGTGGATCCAGCATACTTGGTATGAGTCCTGGGTACACACAAGTCCACTGAACTGCAGCCCTTTTTTCCTCCTGCACTTCTGATGAGCCATTGGGTTTCCCCTCACTTTTCTGTTTATTACTACAGTTCTATTCTGTGACTAGAGCCTTGCCCTGATTATCAACCTACATTACTGAGCTTCTGTCTCTTTGGTTCTTGGGACTCCTTCCCTGGGGCTTATATCCTCATATGTAGAACAAGATTATGTAAAATAGGGATAATGACAACATACTTTTTAAAAGTTTCTAGTGGTAGTTGAAATGTAAAGTGCCTGGCATGGAGTATCTATAGAAAAATTATGGGTGCTTTCACTATTTTCATAATAATTATTAATAGTATGTAAATTTGTGCTTTTATCCTTTTGTCACTTAATGGGGGTTTGTTTTCTAAT